AAAAGGACAGAAAGGCAGAAGGAGACGCTGCAGCCGCCGCAATGACCAGAGAGGCTGCAGCCGCTGCCATGACCAGAGACACTGCAGCCGCTGCCATGACCAGCAGCATGTGAAGACGCCAGTAAGCCACCAGCCACATGGCAAGGTATAGATGTATGGAAATGGATCAATTTAAGATAAAAGCACAGTTAGCAAGATAAGGACAGTTGGCAGGAAACCTGCCACGGCCATACAGTTTGCAAGCAATATAAGTGTCTGTGTTTATTTGGTTGGGTCTGAGCGGCTGTGGGACTGGTGGGTGACAGAGATTTGTCCTGACTGTGGGCAAGGCGGAAAAATCAAGCTACAGTTTACTACAGATGACGCAAAGACACTCGCACCCTTGACAGTCACATGAGAAGGGAGAAGGCAGCTATGCATCTGTACACAGGGCTACTGACTATTGTGACTGTGGGACAAGCCAAGTCTTCCCTCTGCATCTTAGTATGCTTAGTGCGCCCCCCGCCCCCAGATGCTTACAATAACCTACTTTTATATACACCAAGCACACTAGGGTGAAAGTCAGCCCCCACCCTTGCTATATGACCCCCACAGTGTCCGTGCCTCCCGACCATGCCGTACCTTTAGGATCTGGCTTTTATTTGCTCTTTTCTCTTCACTAGGTCTGGCCTGGGCTGTACCATTTTCTGTCTGGCCTTCCATGAGTCTGGAGCCGCTGCCTGCCTCCTCCAATGAAGGGTCACACTGCTTCGACACCTGGGCACTGGGCTCAAGGTTCTCCTCCGCATCTTCCAAAGAAAGGCATTTTGTTAAAGCCAAGAACCAACAGTTACACAAAGCAACCACAGTTACATGACTGCAGGATCCCGGGTCCCCAGATCCCTGGAGATGGAACTCGACTCTCAAGTCAATGGTCAGGAAGGATACAGGAAACATCTGGAGCCTCTGGCTGGCTCCAAGGCTCACAGCCAACTTCTGCCAGCAGTGTTTGTTCTCTCTGATGAACTTTAAAAAGAATTTTTAGGGATAAAGCATTCATTTGTATCCCAAATCTAGAACAAAACATGACCTAACCCTACACTGTCCAATACAGTGGCCACAGCCACACATGGCTGCTAAGATTTTAAGTAACTAAAACTCACACACCATGCAGGCCCATCTCATCCTGCACATGCGCATTCCACCACACTGTGCAGCACAAACTGAGGCAGTGTTGCTCACGTCATGACTGGCGGATGCTGAGTGTGGACACTATAGTAATCATGGAGCCTGTGCATACCAGCTGGAGGGTGCCACCAGCATACCACTTGAAGCTTATTCACAATCTAGGTTGTGAACTTACTGTTTCCTTCCCCCTGGTTCATCTGAAGCATGGCGATTATTGCAGAGTCAATATTGTAATTTTCAGCTTCCAGGTTCTGGACTATTAAGTTAAAATCCTGTTGAAGAAGCAGAGAGACACTCAAGACTCTGAATGTGTCACACTCACGAGCTCTGCTTCAGCAGCCTGATACACACAAACACCAACAGAGGAACTGACGAGGCTCCAAGACCTCAACCACCAAGAAACATAATTTCAAACAAGGCCATCACATGCAGTAGCCATTCCAATGCATTTATAAATAAATTCTCTTTATAAAGCTACAACTTTACTAGGGCAAATTTCTCTCAGAAAAAATTAAACCCACTCCTTAGGATTTTGAGCATTGATGGGTGACATCCAGCAAACAAGGGGAATTAATTAACAGCTCCCCACTCTCTTGGGCCTCTGGCAGGCCATCTATGGCATGGCAGCATCTGCTATGCTGGGGAAGGATACTAACTGAGTATCCAGCTGTGAGGCATGGGGCGGGGGGGGGGGGGGGGGGGGGGGGGGAGGATATTAACTGAGCATCCAGCTGTGAGGCATGGCTGGGGGGAGGATACTAACTGAGCACCCAGCTGTGAGGCATGGCTGGGGGGAGGATACTAACTGAGCATCCAGTCGCATTGCCAACTTTCTGGACAGCATCTTCCACTTCATCCCGTGGGCCATCTTCAAAGTCGACCCCTTTTGTCTTGATCTTTTCTTTTTTATTTGCTCCATCTTGATGAAGCATCTGGAACTAAAAGAAACAGCACAGGAACCATGGGCTCCAGCAAATTCCACTCAGCTCTCTAACACAGAAAGACACCTGAATCACAAACCATCCAAACACAGAAGAAGAATTCTAGGAACAACCTCAAGAGCAGAGCAGCAGCTAGAATCACCCACACTGAGAATCCGGGACAGCCCTGAGTACAGAGCTGAGAGGAACCACTCAGGAAGAAGAGCAGCAAGGACCCAGGGTATTTAGACAGCAGTACTTGGGCAATCATGGCTGTGCCTGACAGCACACATCTGTCTGCCTCTGCTTGCTGAGTACAGAAGAGGGTCCCTGTGTTCACACCTGCCAAGCTACTGAACTTAAAATGCTAGCCTTGAAAAACACAAATATCCAACTCTCACCTGAGAGACGTGTGAGTGTCTCTCTCTCTCTCCCCCTCCTATTTGCCCATCCACATGTGAGCTCTCAGCTGTTCCTGCTGCCATGTCTTTGCTTTGTCACTATGGACTCTAACCCGTGGTTAGCATGGACTCTAAGCCCCAGACTAAACACTTTGTTTTATACATTGCCTTGGTCATGGTGTTTCATCACAGCAAAAGAAAAGTAACTAAGAGTGTGTGTGATACACCCACACCAGGAAATACCATTAAAAAGTACTGACACACACTACAATATGGCTGACTCTCAAAAACACTATGCTAAGTGAAAAGGGCCAGGCCGCATCAAATACATGATTCCATTTACAGCAATGTCCAGAGCCAGGTGCGACGGTTTTGGAACCAAGAGGACATGGTCAAGGAAGCCTGGGGTGTCCCAGCTGCAGCAGATACTACATGTGAAGTGATTCACGGTAGGTGGCTTTGATCTCAGTGTGTAAGAGAAAGAATTCTATAGGATCTCTGGGTGTATATCAAGAGGTTTCATCCAAATGATAACCAGCTAGGAAATACGAAGAGAAAAAGTCCACTTCTTATAACAGGAACAAACACAAAATATCTAAGAATAAAAGCCAAGGGGAAAAAAAAAAGGCAAGCTCCATCTGAAAAGAACACTCCCACAGAGCTTACATCCGTCAACAAAGCTCACCGGGTCCTGGCTAGGACCACTTAAGTTATACAGACAGCAATTTTTCTTTAATTAATCCAGTACGATTCCAATTAAGGGCCTCTGAATGTAATTCAGTTGATAGAATAGTTGTCCAGCATATACAAAGTCCTGGGTTCAATCCTTGGCAAAGCACAGAACAGACATGGGGGCATGTGTCCATAATCTGAGCACTTGGGAGGTAGAAGCAGGAGAATCAGAAGTTCACATCCTCAGCTATATACAAAACTCAAGGTCAGCTTGGGCTACATGAAACCCTGTCTCAAAAAAAGGCAGGAGGCTGAATAGTTAAGAGCACTGACTGCTCTTTCAGAATATCCAGGTTCAATTCCCAGCACCCACATGGACACTCACAACCATCTGTAACTCCAGTTCCAGGAAATCCAATGCCCTCTTTTGGCTTCCAAGGACACCAGGCACACACATGGTACAGATTGTGTATACACCTAACCATAGGTGTCTACTGGAGGAAGGTAAAGGGACAACAAGCATCTGTCTCTCACCTCACTAAAAAGAAATACAAAATACATTTAGCTTTTTATATTTATGTGTGTGTGCACACAAGTGTGTGTGTGCACACCCATGCCATGATCTCATGCGCATGTCCGAAGACACTTTGTGCGAGCTGGTTCTTTTCTTCCACTATGTGGGTTCCTAGGATCAAACCCGAGTCCTCAGGCTAGGCAGTCCGTGTTTCACCGGCCGAAACACTTTATCCATCAGAGCCACAGCTCCCTGACGGCAACTTTTCATTAGCAGCAGCAACAGCTGGTCCCTGGTGTTCAGCTCCTGCAGGTCTGCAAGCAGAAGGAACAGAAGGACCTGGGGCGTCACTCACATCGGTCTGAAGATGTGCCGGCGCTTCTGAGTTGTCATTGATCCTCCGGACACTGTCATAGTGTTCTCCGTACCGGTAGGCGATGTGGAGCTCCCTCACACTGCTTTTGTCCGTACCTCGAATCTGCAGACACAAGAGAGGGTCTGGAAGGTGGGGCCTGTGGGGACTGGGACCTGACCAGGAGGCCAGGCCAGTGGGCCCTATACAACAGACCAGGACTCTAGCTAGGACAGTCTCTGAGCTCTCCGCCTTGCAGGCTTGCAGGCTTCCATGTGCCCATGTAACATCTGCCAATATGTGAGTGACTCCATATGGAAGGGACTAACAAGCCAGAGACAGGCCTGCAGTGAAGTCAGATAAAATTAACTACCTGGCCTTGCCAGTGCACAGGCTCCTTCCAATGGGAAGACCCAGAAGCAGACGCAGATTTGCTGAGCCGGAAGCTTAAACAGACTGAAGATTGTCATTGGGGGAAAAAAAGGAGTAAAATGTCAAGTATGAAGCTTCTAGACCCTCTGGAAGACCTTAAAATGGAACCACACAAACCTAGCCTGACATGGCTTGCTGGCTGTAATAAATTCACCTCTCTTCCCTTATAAGCACCAACAATCTCAAAACCTGCCATCGCACCAGTTCCAAGACAAAATCCCACAGAGTAAAACCGTACTAGCTCACCCCACAGCCCTGCGCACACCTCACAGCCCTGGGCATTGTCCCCACTGCCCGAAGCACACCTCACAGCCCTGGACACACCTCACAGCCCTGCGCACACCTCACAGCCCTGGCACACCTCACAGCCCTGTGCACACCTCACAGCCCTGGACACACCTCACAGCCCTGCACACACCTCACAGCCCTGGCACACCTCACAGCCCTGTGCACACCTCACAGCCCTGGCACACCTCACAGCCCTGCGCACACCTCACAGCCCTGTGCACACCTCACAGCCCTGCGCACACCTCACAGCCCTGGGCACACCTCACAGCCCTGCACATACCTCACAGCCCTGGTACTGTCCACACTGCCCTGTGCACACCTCACAGCCCTGCGCACACCTCACAGCCCTGTGCACACCTCACAGCCCTGGGCACTGTCCATGCAGCCCTGTGCACACCTCACAGCCCTATGCACACCTCACAGCCCTGTGCACACCCCACAGTCCTATGCACACCTCACAGCCCTGCGCACACCTCACAGCCCTGCGCACACCTCACAGCCCTGCGCACACCTCACAGCCCTG